AATATGTATACTCACTGTCTCTTATACACATCTATATACATATATGTATATAATATATATATGATTAGAAATTGGATCCATTAATTTGATATTAATTTATCAATCGATTATATAAATGTTTGAACTATGCATACACATATCAAGGTAAATCGACAAAAAAAAACATATACCACAGGGGGAAGAATTAATGGGGGGTAGCCCGGACCCCCTTTTGGGAGGTCAAAAAAAGGAAAAGAAAAAAATGATAGCCCAGAACGCCTCAAATGTTATTTTCAGGCGTCTAGAACACAAAAATTTTGCGGGGCACATCCCCGGACCCCCTAGGACGTGTTGTCTCGATCGGTTCAACTTGGGACATCTATGGATCCACCCCTGCACCACGTACACACAACATAGGTTTAGGCCCTATGTTGACTGACCTCTGACCTTGGATACGGGCATGCACACTTTAAACTAGGAAATGGCTTATTGTGCTATCCAGTAGTTATCAATCAGATTTGAAATTATTTGCAACCACCATAGCAATTTGTCTTCCGAAGTTCAATACATTTTGAAGTAGATTGTTCAATATAGAGACACACAATATTTGAGTCATCTTTTTGTCAGAGTTCAATGTTTCCGTTATCATCAATCCATTTCAAAATATTGCCGTAATCGTGCATTTCATCCTTATCGCAGAATTTAACATACCGTATATCATCTTTATGTTCTCCACTAATGATAGTATAATCATCGTCTTTATCGCCATCAGAAATAATTATCAAAGCAGGTTTACTTCAACTTAACAGGGCACGGTTCTTTCAGGTCTAGCTGCAGGCACCATTGAATTATAGTAAAAAAAATATTTAACAAAAACAGGATTTATATAAAAAAAATGTTACTGGCCGTGGGCTGACAATTATTCCTATGGGTTTTAACAATTTGTTGGATTTTAATAAAATTGTAACACACAGTGCAGCTTCTAGAGAATTACATGATCATCATCAAGTGACCTGCCAATTGGCAGCTTCACGCCGACAACTCCCTCCATTTCTCTCGATCTAAAGCCGCTATCTTTAACTGTTCGTATGCGTTTCCCTTCTTTATGTTATCCAAGAAAGCACATCTCTTTCTCTAGTTAATTTTCCCATATTTATTTTTACTTTATTTTTTTTATTTATTTATTTAAAACATTTTTTTTTTTATTATTACTATTATTATTTTATTACTTTATTGTATTTTGCTCTTTATTTTGTATTCATTGTAAAGCGCTAGTGACAACTTCGGTTTAACCGGCGCTATATAAATTTAAAAATCTACAGTATCTATCTATCATATTTGGACCTTCTAAGACAATTTTTAGAGGGTAATTCTGTCCAATCCATTTCTGTTATTGCTTATTAATTTTTATTAATATTTTTATAATTTAAAAAAAATTAATATTAAGATATTATTTATTCATAAATACATGATATCAAACAAATAAAACAAATGAAGAATGAGAAAAATCCATAAAGGCAACCAAAAAAATTACTAAAACAGTTCTATATAAAATAGCTACGGTAATGACCAATTATGTTACACTGAAAGCCAACAGAACTTCACAGATATGAGGAAGCCATTTATGTTTATGTTAAAAGCAAAATAATGAAAAGGGTTATAATTGCCGATGGCTATAGATGTTATAATGTATAATGTATCAACTCTTTGCATGCTATTTTAGCAGATAGGCACACTCTACATAATCAAGGATTATTATCTGCACTAGATGATATATTAACCAGCAAGCACTAAACATTGTACATTTTATTTAATAGTATTTTAATGACACAAGGAGTTGATACAGATAAACCTGCAATTAGTTTATGTTGCTAATATTACAATAAGTTTTTGTGGTTATGTGGATTTTTTTTAAATATATATTTATTTTTAAGTCTGCGGACAAAAAATGAAGTTTTTGAGGTATTTTAAATATTCTGCTGCTGGAGAACAGACGTACCTGACTGTACAGGGAATACTTCCAAAAATAAAAAAAACCCCCAATCACAGACTAAACGATTTACTCCCTCCATTACATAACGTACCATATAAATTGAGGACAATCACCGAATTCCCTCTACCCAAATGTAATATAAACAGAAAAAAAACTTTACTTATTAATACCGGGGTGTTCAACAGATGGTAAGTACTCCCTCACAGTCCGACAGACTCTGCTCTTATATTTAAACAAAATTATTTTAATTTTTCGCTCGTTTGATCATTTTATTTGTGTGGAATTGTTCAACTTTAATTTATTTCATATAGATTGCAATAAAGTTATCGTATCGTATCATTAGATGCATTCTATACTTGCGTTTGTCCCTAAAGTGTTATTGTATTGTTTATCCAAATGAACAGAGTATATGCAGTGTGGCAGATGTAAGGGGGTGGGAGCAACCGGCCTGAGAGTGCCATTTCCAGCTGTTAAATCATAAATTTTCTTTTCAACCATGGTGGGTGCAGACATGGTACAGACCCTTAATCTGTGAAAGTCCTTCCCTGGGCCCTCCATTTTGAATTCCTGGATCCGCCACTGATATGAATAACATGCACTTGTGGATTTATTAAGGTACTGTACTGTATAAATATTATTGATAGATCCTTTTAATTGTGGTCAAGTGAAGTTCAGATGCTAACAGCCACTTACTGAAATTTCTAGAATCAAAAAGTCATAACACATCCACACTATTATCTAAGCTCTGCTTGATAATGAGCTATTTTTCATATGTTGCAGCAATTTTTACACTATTTCATAAGAGTGAACCATGCAGCTAAGTTCATATTTAGAAGTATCCTTAGTGGTTATGAGAAAAAGTATATTTATTCACAGGAATTACCACGGGTCATTGGGATTCGATGCCTTTCAAACCTCCCTGAAATGTATACATTTGCATATATATGACACTTGTATTAATGTAAATGAGTAATTTCACAGTAAATGGACATGATAACCTAACATTTTCATGGAAAAATAGAATACAGATGATTTTGGCTAAACTCTGTGGAACAGAACATATGATATCAATGTTTTGGAAAAGGGGTATTATAAGATAGTTAAATTATCTTTTCAAAAGAAATATGCATGTTTGTATTTTAATACACTACAAATCCTATTCCCTGTCTCTTATACACATCTAGATGTGTATAAGAGACAGGCATTATTCCATGCATGGTTGGAGATGTCAAGTAAAATGAATTTCATTTGGTCCCCTAGATGTGTATAAGAGACAGTTATAATACATACTTAAAAATGAAGTTTTTGAGGTATTTTAAATATTCTGCTGCTGGAGAACAGACGTACCTGACTGTACAGGGAATACTTCCAAAAATAAAAAAAACCCCCAATCACAGACTAAACGATTTACTCCCTCCATTACATAACGTACCATATAAATTGAGGACAATCACCGAATTCCCTCTACCCAAATGTAATACAAACAGAAAAAAAACTTTACTTATTAATACCGGGGTGTTCAACAGATGGTAAGTACTCCCTCACAGTCCGACAGACTCTGCTCTTATATTTAAACAAAATTATTTTAATTTTTCGCTCGTTTGATCATTTTATTTGTGTGGAATTGTTCAACTTTAATTTATTTCATATAGATTGCAATAAAGTTATCGTATCGTATCATTAGATGCATTCTATACTTGCGTTTGTCCCTAAAGTGTTATTGTATTGTTTATCCAAATGAACAGAGTATATGCAGTGTGGCAGATGTAAGGGGGTGGGAGCAACCGGCCTGAGAGTGCCATTTCCAGCTGTTAAATCATAAATTTTCTTTTCAACCATGGTGGGTGCAGACATGGTACAGACCCTTAATCTGTGAAAGTCCTTCCCTGGGCCCTCCATTTTGAATTCCTGGATCCGCCACTGATATGAATAACATGCACTTGTGGATT